AATTTGTAAACCGTTTGTAAATTAAATATTTCCATTTTATTTTAAAAGAATATACATTTTTGTTTGCGTGTTAAAAAAACCAAACATATTACTTCATTTTACAACTAAATATGACTGAAAGAATGACAATATGCATGAAATAGGTGCGACATAACTAAAGCACATCACAGGTGTTTAAAAATAAAAAGTATTTGTTGTTAATATTTGGTGGCATAGCCATTGTTTTTTATGACGGCTTCACACCTTCGAGGCATAGATTCAACCAATTTATTTTAAACGTCCTCAGAAATGCCCTTTCATGAGAGTTCAACTTGGGAAAAGAGAGAGTCCTTGTTGCAATTTTCGCGCTTGATTTTCCGATCTACAATTTCCCATAGATTTTCTATGGGGTTGAGATCGGGAGATTGCTCGGGCCACTTCAAAACTTCAATTTTATTGGCAGCAAACCACTCTTTCACACATTTAGCCGTGTGTTTCGGATCATTATCGTGTTGATAGATCCACTTTAACAGCATTTTCTCTTCAGCATGGGGCAACATAATCGTCTGAAGGATGTCTTTATACATAAAACGATCCATTATGCCATTAATTCGATGGATCGGACCTACTCCATGACCTGAAAAACATCCCCAGACCATTACGTTGCCTCCTCCATGTTTCACAGAGCCTTGCGAATAACGTGGATTTAGGCGTTGACCTTTTGGCCTCCGTACCAGCTTCAATCCATCAGAACCTTTGATGTTAAACTTTGACTCATCAGAAAAAAGTACACTTCGCCATTTTGTAATGCTCCAGTTAATATGAGTTCTTGCAAATTCAAGCCGCGCTTGTCGATTTTTATTGGAAATGTATGGTTTCCTTGCACTTCTGCATGTTATCAAGCCACTTTCAACAGTACGTTGCTGAATGGATCTAAGGGAAATATTGAAGCCTAATTCGCTTTGGATTGATCTGGCTGATATAAAAGGATCCTTTTGTATAGTGCGAACTATTGCTTTATCCTCGCGGGACGTGGTTTTACGTGGCCTGCCACCTCCATGTATTGTAATAAGGGAGCCGGAAGAACGAAAACGACTAATAGTTCTTGACACAACGCTGTGATTAATGCTAAATTTTTTTGAAATATTAGTTACTGATTCACCATTATTAAATTCACTTATAATTTTTTCTCTAAATACTGCCGAATATTTATTGCGCGCTATTTCATTAACCTGTTTTAGCAATGTTCACAACTGACTAAGCAATACGGTTTAAAATTACTGCAAATGCTCTCTTTTTATGTATTGAATAACGGTTTCCTACTATAGTGGAAATTTCAACATTACTCGTTGAAAACATGTTCAAGGAGTGAGGAAATATAATCACGTGCTTTAGTTTTGTCGCAGTAGCTCCACATATTATGCCAAGTTCTTGTACACTAGAGTCTTATGAGCAATAAAATGAGGTTAATTTTGTTGAAATTTTATTTTAAACATATAATTCTGCTGAATTCATAAAAAATTTAAAAGTTATGAAAGACTTTCCAAACTTTTTTTTAACGGAACGCCTCTAGGTATACTTTGTGCTTTAGTTTTGGCCGACACTGTATAAGGCTGCGGTTCTACTACAAATCTACAAATAATATAGTGCGACAATGTAAAATTATAAAATTAGGTAAATGTTCGCTATATAAAAACCACTTGCACATGCAGTTAACATGAAAATAACAAAACGAGGGAAATTTTAAAATATCTCGAATACCGTTCCATTTTCACAATGTGAGATCGCCATATTTGGATTCAGCGGACAATTTTACATAAGATTGGTGTACCGAACGCCGTGGTTATGAGAATTTTCGAAAATTTGTAAGATAATAAAACAGAAAAATAAGGCCAATTTTGGCTATACAAAAACCACTTGCTCATGGCGTAAACATAAAAGTAACAAAACGAGCGGTACAGCCGCTTGAAGTTAGAGATGCAAACCAAAGATTTCGTAAGTTTCATATTTATATCTAACAGGCAACACATTCATTTCGTAACCTGAATATTGGGAATTTTAAAAATTTCGGAACCTCAAGCAAAGTTTTTTTTTTATATAAGGAGTGAGCTGGTCGGGTCGAGACGTAGCTGTGTTTTGTATATGCTACGCACACATAATTCTTGAGTAACATAAGCTGCTTGCTCTAAACAGTCAAAACGCCTAGGGTCGATTAAAGTTTATAAAAAATAAGTAAAAATACGTGATTTTAAGACGCTGCCATATTCGGAAGTATTGACTTATACGATTTTCTTTGCTTGCATTAAAACTGTCATCTTTTCCCTTCGAATGGGCATCGAGTGGCAGATATCTTAAAAAGGAAACATTTTAGAGATAAATTAATTTTTTAATGCATAAAAATCGCAATTTTTTTAACTCTTGATTCCGACAGGCGGAAACGAGCGTTTCTAAGAATTTAATTTTGCGTAAATACTGTTCTTTGGGACCCCAAAGAAGAGTCCCTTAAANACGGCGTCTCGAGTGGCAGATATCTTAAAAAGGAAACATTTTAGAGATAAATTAATTTNTGGGCATCGAGTGGCAGATATCTTAAAAAGGAAACATTTTAGAGATAAATTAATTTTTTAATGCATAAAAATCGCAATTTTTTTAACTCTTGATTCCGACAGGCGGAAACGAGCGTTTCTAAGAATTTAATTTTGCGTAAATACTGTTCTTTGGGACCCCAAAGAAGAGTCCCTTAAAGTTACAGCAAGATCTAACATGGTCCCGCGACTTCAGTACTATCTATATACTAGTTTTACGCAGGGAACGGATTTTATGGAAATTTCTTTTTTTCTGCTACAGAGATAGAGTATATTCGATTAAGAATGTCCGCGATTTAGCTTTCCCTTATTCGATATATACACACTTGATGTTGCCTTCTTTAAGGTATTTGCTTATATTTGCCTTTTCTACCTTTAATTGGAAAGGGCAAGGAAAAGCCATAATTCCTGATAATATGAAAGTTCTAAACGTTCCATATTTAAATTGGGTGCCACATGTATCAACTTATGTCGACCGCACGTTTAGTACATCCAAGGCTGTTTGCGAAAATCGAAAGAAATGCTGCCAGAAAACTTCAAAATTCATCTTGTGGTTCAATGTAACTACAATTATAGATATTAAAGTTTTTTGAGATAGAAACTCGAAAGAAGAAAATACATAGTCAAAGATTTAAAGTACAAATGAAACTACATAATTCATAGTTTTTCTTTTTTACTTGTAAAATAAACATTTTTAAATAAATGTTTTTTGATCATTTTTCGGTTTTTGTATTTTTTAGTGCCTTTTGCCTTTTTTGCGATTTCTGGTGTTTTATTGTCTATATCGCTATTTTATTTTGCCTTTTCTAGCGTATTTCGTTATTTTTTTTGCCTGTTTTTTTAGGTTTTTAGGTCTTAAAAATCCGTTCCCTGGTTATAAATATATAATCTTATAATCATATTTCTTTTTAAGAGATTCTTGTGGGATCAACTTTGAGTAGATTAGCGTCCTTAAATTTCGGAATATCGAAGTTTCTGCATTTCTGAAATTTAGCGTTATATAAAAAGTGGGCGTAATTTTAGTCCAATTTTACAAATTTTCAACGTCTTGCCTTTGTGTATCAAGTACAATAATTGTAACGAGTGCAAATATCAGTTTTCAAATAAATTGGTTTCAGTGTTTACTGGTTTATAGAAGGTTTTGTATTTCTCTAAATTATCGTTGTATGGGATGTGGGCGTGGTTATTGTCCCATTTTAACAATTTTTTGCCGTTTGGTATGTTTTAACAGTTTACCGGGCCATACATATGTACTTACATTTCGTAAGTGGGCGGGGCTACGCCCATTTTCCAAAAATTTATAATATACTTATTTTCCGCAGAAATATCATTGCAAATATCAATTTTGAGTAAATAAGCTTCAGTAGTTACTAAAATATCCCAGTTTTCATACTTCTGAAAACTGTCGTTATATGGGAGGTAGGCGGCTTTATAGTCCGAATTTCGCGAATTTTCAATACCATCCGTCCTACGTTCAAGAAGTACATGTACCAAGTTTCGTTAAGATATCTAAATTTTTACTGGAGTTATCGACGGGATACGGACGGACGGAGAGACAGTCACGGCTAAATCGATTTCTTTTTTCATTCTGAGCATTTATGTATACATTTGTCTATAGGTTCATTCCTTATCTTTTTGGACTAAAATCTGAAAAGTGTCAAAATGTCAGAGCGTAAGCAAAATGCGCGCACTAAAAGAGAATAACAGGAAAAGTAAAGGAACGCAAAAAACCAAATTTTTAGTCCAAAGAATGGCAACAACAAAGCTAACGTCAAATAAGAATGTAAATGTATGTACAAAACACCTGCACACAAGCACAAGCACAATAAACACTTTCTATATCAATTATTTTTCGCCTCCTTCCAATTTCAATTCACTTTTTTACTTTTTAGATTATTCTCACTTTTTGCGTATTCTTTAATTTCCGTTAATTTAAGTTCAGTCGAGTTTGACACTTTTCAGGATTTTGCCAGAAAAAATTCTTCTGACTAAATCTGACTACTTCGGACTGATGAGAGTCACTCTCACCGAGTGTTGCTCTCTCATTTTTGCTGTCATTTCCGAGTTAAGGAACGCTTTTTGGACTAAATCTGACTACTTCGGACTTTTTCAGACTATTTCTGGGAGATAAGAACGCTCCTTATATCTATCTCGATTCGTTTTGTCTGTTACAATCAACAAAAGTCTAACCCGAACAGATTTGCTAAAAACTTTGTATAACAGTTATAGCGAGTGATTTATTTTTTACAACAAAAAATAAATTACTTTTGATGGCACATTGATAAATGGCCGATTATTTTCGGTCTCTGCTGAACACCTATAAAGTTCAGAAAGTTTAATTTTTTAAATTGAATCATTGGTTACCTACTGTGTGATATTTGTTTTTCAATGCACTAATTTCTAATGACGCACTCCTTATTACAATTACAATTGCAGTTTTAAGAGATGCACAAGAAAGTGAAGAAGCTAACACCAGAGATAACAGTAACCTTGGTCAAGAAGAGGACATTTTAGATTCTGCTCGACATGATGAGGTTATTCAGGATGATGAAAGCGATAACGATTTTCCGTTTAACGATCCAGAAACAGAATCCGACTCTGATGACAACCAAAGTAATCAAGATGCGCAACGAAGCGTACAAACTGGCGCTACCGTTGGTTCCGAGACAGGTGAATTTTTTACCATTAAAAACAAAAACACATACATATAAATACATATACGGAATATGGATTCACAGTTTTGTTTTTTTTTTGGGATTTGCTTATTTTGCATTCTTCATAAAAAAAGGTTAAAGGCAAATTTGTGGAGAATTTAATTTCCCAAATTTTTTATATTAAAGGTTTTCAAAAAACATTTTTTATTGTAAATAATTAGCAACAATTCCACTACTTTTTTACGATCGGGAACGCGTTAAACATAGCGATGTAAGGGAAGCGGCGTAAAATTAATTTCCTCCCCACGGCTAAGTTGAGCTTTTCGGCGCTTGCTTTTTACGTGGTTTTCAGGAAACTGATTGTTGAAAAATAGCGAAACGCGTGACATGTACATGCACAAATTGTTTATTTTAATTGTTTATGGGACGTTCCACGTCAACAGGAACCGTACGATGGCGAAAATTCTGTGGGGCGGATTAAAAAGATTAAGATCTTGAAACGATCGCATAGATCTCCATTGATAACAGATAAATTAGAATTTGCTTTACAACTTTTATGCCACCGGACACTAAAAAATAAAAAGGAACAGCAGATTCTTACTAACATATAACTCATACGCCAGCTACCTACGCTCGATTTCAACTTTTTCCGTGATAAATCGTAGATCCAATAGAATTTTTAAAATCTAATCAGAAATCTTAAGAACCCTTAATTTTAAAGTTTAAAGGGCCATATTGGAGTCGCCATTTTGAATTTTTCCAACCTGACTCCAGATTCGTCATTAGCGGCACCAAGCACCCCATAGGAAAACATTTCAACCGGATCGAGCCGATTTTAATTTTTTTGGCGCCATATTGGATTCGCCATTGTGAATTTTAAAATTAAGCTCTAAGTTCGTAATCGCAACGCTGTTGCTTTTTATTTTCTAGTGTTTGGTTCTCCACTGCCGCAAAATTTATACAACAAATTCTAATTTACGGTTAATTTAGACGCCATATTTGAGACGTCATGTTGAATTTTTCAAAATATCACACTGGTTTCAATGGCGACATCTATGTGATAGTTTTAGAACCTTTATATTTGCAATCCTAAGGTGACCAGAATTTTTTAACATTCAAGGAGGACAAATTCTCCACATTGAAAACACAAAAAATATTTACATTTATTTTAACTAGGGCTGTGCGATTAATTGATTACTCAAAATTTTAATTAATCATAAAGTAAATAACTCAGTTATTCGATTAATTAGAAATTATGATTACTCAAAAGTTCAGTTACTCGAGTAATCAAGATTTTTGATTAACCAAAAAAAAAATATTTGAGTAATTTGCTTTATGATTAATCAACATTTCGAGTAAAATGAGTAATCAACATTTCAACTCTTTACATATGTATAAAGTAGTTAAAGTTCCTTGATACTTTGAAAACAACGTTTCTGTTTTCAAAAATTAAAACGATTTTTTTTTTTCATATTCAGAATGTAAAAAAGAAAATCAGCATTTTCCAAAGCAATCTCTTTTAACGAGCAAAATTATTTTTTGAGTAATCATATTTCAAGTAACTCGATTAATCATCGTTTTGAGTAATCAAAATCTTGATTACTCGAGTAATTGATTAACCGAATAATTGATTAACCAACTTGCTCGAGTAATCGAATAATCGCACAGCCCTAATTTTAACACATAAATAACGAATAAATTAACAATTCAAAGTTTCTTTAAAGACAAGTCAAGCAAGTTTAAGTACACTGCGTTCATAATTATAATACCGCCACATATTAACAAGTTTTGACTAATTATTTTTAACCGACTTCAAAAAGAAGAAGGTTATCAAATCGTCGGAATATATATTTTTTATGTATGTTACCGCATAACTTTCGACCACGTCCACCGGTTGCGATAATTATTTTTTTATCGGAAAGGTGGTGTCCCACAGGTAGTTCCATACTAATTTGGTTTAGATCGGTTGTGTTTTTTGCTAAAAAATTACCTGTTCAATTATTTAATTGTAATTGTATTACTTGCAAAAGAAATTGCTTTTGTTCTTCGTTTTTCGTCAAAGTTCGTTTATAATTTTGTATCAACGCTATACCTCGTTCAACAATATCATTAACATATTTAATACTTTTAATTGTCTCTAAGACAACCAACTTCAGGGTCAACTTTTATCCCTTTTTAAAACTTTTTTCAACGATTCAAAAGTTATGACATTTTCATGAAAAATATTTTTGTGCATGTTGTTTAAAATTGGAATACAAATTTTTCCAAATGGGAGAATTTCATTCCCAGTAAATAGCCATTTTAAGGCCATAAATTCGCCAGGTTAGTTATTTTGGATCGCCCTAATATATAATAATAATAGATTGGCTATTACACATATTTTAATGTTTGGCCGAGCTTCTCCTCCGATTTGTGGCGTGCGCCTTGATGTTGTCACACAAAGGGGAGGGACCTACAGTTTTACGCCTACTCTGAGCGGCGATTGTATTTTTATTAGAAGCTGTTTGTCATGGCAGAAATACACTCGGAGGGTTGCCATTGCGTACCGAAGGGCGACAGCTGTTAGGAAAAAACGTTTTTTCTAAATTTTTTTGTGATGTTTCTTTGACCAGGGCTTGAACCCAGGCCCGCGGAGTGGAAGCGTGCACTGCTTACCACTGCACCTTTGTTTTTTTCTTCCGAATTTTTTAGATCCGCCACCGTGTTTTACCGATTTCACAGTGTACCTGGGGTTTAAGGCCATGCTTGTAGAACACCTCATATACGTTTTTCCATCGGATTGGAATAAGTTAAACTTCGATTCGTCACTCCACAGAACTCTATTCCAGTATCGTGGATGTTTATTAAGCATTTCCTTTGCAAACCGCAAATGCCTTTTAATATTTTTTTTTGATACATGCGGTTTTTCAGTGCAATGCACCAATTTCCACTCATGTAAGTGTCTTCTTATCGTCCGAGCGGAGATTTCTGCATTAATTTGATGTCCATATTCAGCCTTTATTTCATGCGAAGACATGAATGGGTTGTTCTTGCTGGCCCTACAAATAAGCCTATCTTCTGGTGGAGTAGTTTTTTGAGGCCTGGGCTTCCTCGTAGGGGTTTCAAACGTCTTTGTTTTATTATATAAATGAATTGCTCCAAATACCATTTTTTTTGTGGAGCAAGCAAACCTTTGCGCGATAGCCGACATTGAATTTTTCTTTTTGATAACAATTCACAATTAACTCCCTCATTTTTGGAGTGCATGACTTTTTTTTACCCATTCTAACAACTAAAATGTATCAAAATTATTTATATTTATTATATATTATTAAATATTCGACGATTTTCCAATAAATTGTCCAAACTTATGTTAACGCCAGTTGTAGACAATTTCAATAAAGCTTCCAAATTGTCAAATATTAAGCAACTGTTTGGTATTGTCGTATGATTTCTGCTAGTCTGTCTTCCCACCTTATTCGCACACCTTCAACATCACACACTGGAAGTTGTCTGACAGCATTCTTGTGAGAGGACCAGCACTTGCAGTTTGTGTTTTGACAGCATCAAGCTGAAATCAATACTTTTGTAGTTTGCGATTATATCGAATAAAGTTGAATTAAGTTAAGTTGAAACATTAATTGTATAAATCTGACGGATTTATTACAAATGTTCGTTGGTTATTCTATTTCTGTGATTATTTTTTATTAACTTCATTTTGGAAAATCGACGTTCACAAATATATGTGCTTCCAAACATAGAAAACAAACATACACTTTTTTTGTAACAGAAGGTATATTTATTTGAGTTTACAGATTTCCAAAATTCGATGCCGTTTAAATTAGATATTTTCAGCCCTGTTCTACAATCCGAGTCGGAATCGCATCGGAATCGGAATTCAATTCCAACACGGAGTTTATGTGGTGTTCCGCAATCCGATCGGAACTTTTGTTTCGAAGTTAATATCGAATCCTGATTGTAGAAAAACGGGGACAAACCTCCTACTTGTCAATTGCGTTCTGAAGTGTCAAAATTCATATGAAGAAATTAAAAAGTGAAAACTAAACTGAGTTCAATGGTTTTATTAGCTGTTTTGCTCAATAATGAGCAGCAAACCAATGAAAAAGTGAGGCAAACAATTTTGCGCGATCGCAGCAATCCCATATAATTACCGGACTCTGCGTAAGTAGTATGCAAACAACTGTTTTCTCTTTTGCTATTTCAAAGTATAATTTTGTATTTTACAGCTCTCTTGCACTCCTAGAGATTTTAGGTGACTTGCAGCCTTATGTACGCGAAGGAGCACCGTACCATTGTCGAAGTTACCGACACAATGTTGTGTGCATGGAGTCAGTGATGTAGGCATATATGTAATACTTCTATATTGGCAGTACGTTGAAAGTACATCCGCCAACATTAGAGTGCAGATTAGACCGTTCGTTATTTCAACTTCTTTTTTAAATATTCAGTTTGCCGGGCGGCAAAAGATGTCTTTTGGTCTAAAAATAAGCTGTGCAAAATTTTATTCGAATATGATAACTCTAAGTACTTGCGCGTTGCATTTGAAAATTTAGAAAACCATATGCATTCTGGGAAAAAATTTTTTAACAAAATAGTTGAAAGTCGTGAATTTTATAGTCATTTGTTATGTAAAATAACTCACACAATCTGAATATGAGGTTGAAAATTAAACAAGTAGAATAGGTTTTAAGAATTTGCGAAATTATCGTTTTTTTTCAAATTGAGGAAACAGCATTTTCATTTTTTTCCAAAAATATCCGGTTGTGATTATCACACCGCGAAGAGATCTCCACCAGATGAAAGGTCTTTGAAATCCCTACGAACCTGCTATACAATGTTTTGCAATCAAATTATCAGTTTAAGAGTTATCTGCCAATTTATTAGTGAAATCGGACACAATTTTAACTCGCATCGTTATTCTACTGTGAATTACACCTAAAAGCTGCAAACTTTTTTTCTCATTATTATGCTATGTTAAAGCTTATTTAATTTCAAAGTATACAGATCCAAATTTTT